CCTCTCATAAAGATCTTTGACTGGGTTTGTTGTTACCAAGCCAAGCCTCAGGTCCCCTTCCCCATTGTCTTAGTTTCCCGGTGCTGCTGTAACAGAAATACCACAAGTGGGTGGCTTTAAAAACAGAAATTTATTTTCTCACAGTTCTGGAGGCTAAAGTCCAAATCAGGGTCTTAGCCATGTTGATTCCTTCCTTGTTGATAGCCCTGGGTGTTCCTGGGTTCCTTGGTGTTCCTTGGCTTGTAGATGATCCTCACATGGCATCTATCCTCCTCTTTGTGTGTGTGTCTCTGTGTCTATTCTGGTCTTTTTATAACTCAGAAGCGATTAGGTTTAGGATCCTTCCTCTACCAGTATGGCCTCATTAACATAACAAAAGAAAAAACGCTATTTCCAAACAGGATCACATCCACAGGAACAAAGGCGAGGAATTCAACGCATATTTTGGGGGGACACACATCAGTACATAGCCCCTCTATCCCCTACTTATACCCTCTAGGATGGGGAACTCACTCCCTGCCTCAGGGCAGTCTGATCTTCTCTGGGCAGCATGGATAGTGAGAATATTTAGGCTGATACTGGACTCTCTGCTGTCTCCCTGGTCTGGGCTCAGGGTGGGAGGCAAGAGGTTTGCAGTTGGAAACCACATTTCCTGAGGCTGCCTTAATCAGGCTGAGGTGCCCACTCCCAGACCTCCAGTTCTGAGTGACCCAGAGGATGGGGGCATTAGTGTGCACTGCTCAGGAAATACCATCACTAAGGCCAGGTGAGACAGGCAGGGTGGCTTCCTGGTTCTCCCACTCACACCCTAGCAAGAGAGCGGGAGTCTTTACTTAGCAACAAGACCACTCCCATCTCTGTCAGTGTGGGTGGGCACACAGAGAGGGGTTGGATTTAACCATTTCCTGCCTAGAGCTGTCCAGCAGTAGAGGCTGAGCAAATGCCTGCCCCGTAAAGCATAGTCTGCAGTCCTGAGCTGAGGATCTGCCTGTTTTTCCCAGGTCTGGGCCTCCTCCCTGCCAGACAGGGAACCTGTGGGCCTGGAATGGGAAGACTGTGCCTGGGCAGACAGGGATGGGAAGGGAATTACCAGCTAGCTCAGCAATGCTGTCCACCCTCCCACTCAGGCTCCTTGTCACCAGCCCTAGAGCCAATGGGTCAGCAGGGCACCTGCATCGATGTTCCCTCTTCCTGAATGAGCTCTCCTGTCAACCAGTAGGTAAGTCAGCTCGGCTCCAGGGTATCTGCCCCAGGTCTGGCTTTCCAGGAATCCCACTGATCCCAATTCACACCATTCCAATCCCACCCCCACCTACTCCAGTCCACCCCGTTGCTAAATTCCAAGACTATCCATGATAATCAGTTCCATCTGAATACTCAATCCCATCCCAGTCCTAATTTCAGCCACCTCTCCTGACTCAATCCTAACAGTAAAATGATACCTAAAATTTACTGAGTGCTTACCATGTGTCTAGCACTCTAAGTGCTTCATTCACATTTAATCCTTACAACCACGTCATTTTACAGAAAAGGAAGCTACAATTCTGAAAAGTACTTTCATTGGCGTGCCTGGGTGGAATAAATAGTTAAAGCACTCAGCTACTAACTGAAAGGTTGGTGGTTTGAGTCCATTCAGAGGCACCTTGGAAGAAAAGCCTGGCAATATAGTTCTGAAAAATCAACCATTGAAAATCCTATGGATCCATTACTGAACATTTTGATCAAAGATTCTATAGAAGAATCTTGATTTTCAAAGGGGAAAATGCAGAACAGAATTTCAAATTCTCATGGAATCCAGACTTTCTGGGGCCATGCAGGCACGATGAACTCCCCGAAATTATTGCCCTGAGATAATCCTTAAACCTTAAACCAAAAATATCCCCAGAAGTATTTTTAAAACCAAGCAATAGTTTAGCTTACCTAGTAAAGAATATCTGCCTTGAGCATTATGCTCTTTTAAGATCTATCTATATGGGATCAAATTGACAAGAACAACTTGAAAGATAGGAACCTTAGGGGGCAGTGAGTTTTTGTTAATGGGGGAGGAACAACTCAGAAAAGGAGGGTAAGAATGGTTGCACAACTCGAAGAATGTAATCAGTGTCCCTGAATTGTACATGTAGAAAGTGTTAAATTGGTGTATGTTTTGCTGTGTATATTCTCAACAAGAACAACAACAAAAAAATAAATTATAAAAAAAGAAAATGCTATGGAGCATACTTCTATTCTGACACACATGGGGTTGCCATGAGTTGGAATCAACTTGACTGGTATGACTGAAGTCACACATCTAGTGTTGGTGACACTACAGATACAAACCCAAATCTGCCTGACTCCATAACCCAATCCATTTCAGTACAACTTCTCTCACCTCAGTGGAATCCACCTCTATGCCACCCAATTTAACTGTGGCCGTCCTAACGTCTAGCAAGGGGCCTGGCATCTATTAGGCACTAATAAATGCTATTTGAATGAATGAACAGATGAACTTAATTCATTCATTAACCAAACTCTACTCACCCCACCCAGTCCAACTCAGGTTGCACGTTTCCTAACACTTGGCTGTGTAAAGTAGAACCCTTACCTCTGTGAGAGGCACTGAGGTGAACAGAACTCAACCTCTGTACCCAGCCCAGTGACCAGATGACACTGTGGTTCTAAAATAAGACGGTGTCCTGACAGCTTCTCATGGGACACTGACCCTGTGCCATCTTGCATCAGGGTTGCCTCCCAATGTCCTTCCTTCCTTATCTGGATTTAACTATTTCAGAGCATGGCCCCATCCCAAAGGGGAGGCATCAGGGAGTGACGGTTGTCCAGAACCACCATGGTGTTTTGGTGAGTGTGCCTAGGGTGGGAGGATGGAGGGACTCAGGGAGGCTGGTGCTGACCCCAGGGCCGACCCCTGGTGCTAAGCCCTGTGGCTGACCCTGATATTGATAACACTCCTGACTGGCATGTAATTCTCAGGGCTGAGCCCAGCTATCTCCCTGGTGCCAATCCCAGGGCTGACCTGTACTCTGTGTGACCCAGCACTGACTCAGGTGCTGACCTCAGTTTTGACCCCAGCACTGACCCCTACCCTGGTAAAGGGTGAGCAAGTTGTTCCTGTGTCCTGTGCCTGGTACTGAGCACTAGAGTGGAGGTGATGGTGTCGTTGCAGCTAGGGGACCTGGGCTGGAGGTGACTTAGCCTTTCCCCTATCTTCTCTTCCCTTCCCTAGATATGCATTCAAGTGAAAACCCGGAAGCCCCACAGCCTCAGTCCAGAACTCACAGGGACCTGCAACCTACTGGCTCCCAACCTCCAGCCCCGGGCCCAGGCCTACTTCTTCAACCTCGGTGAGGATTAGACACTCACTGGCCTTTGGCAGCTCTAAAGGAATCTCCTCTGGTCCCCAAGGGAAGGCACCAGCCCATTGGAGGTGCCAAGGAGACACAGAGGCCCCGAGAGGGGCAGGGAAGGCCCCAAGCCCTCAATGAAAGGAATTGGGCAGATCTAAGTTTGGGCTTGCCTGGAGGTGAACAAGGGGTTTTCTGGCCCTAATCTCTTCCATGTGTGTTTTTTAAAGATAATCTCCAGGATCCAGATGCACATGTAGGTGTTGGAGACTGCTACAGGAACAAAAAAAGCAGCATGGAGGGAACTAAGAACTCAGCCAGGTGGCGCCGGGCACTGGAGGAGGTGGAAGAGGAGGAAGAGGAAGCTGGTGAGGAGGAGCAAATCTAGGTGCTTCCAGAAGCTGTCAGGGCTGACCCCCAGCCAGCAGCCTCTAGGGTGAGGTGTGCCTAGGTCTGGAAGATAGGGAGCAGTGGCTAAACTCCCCAGGCCTGCCCAATCCCAGGCCCCCCGCACCATATTACAGATGGGGAAACTAAGGCCCAGAGAGCAGAAGTGATGGGAGTGACTCACACAGCAAGCAGAGCCAGAGCATATGGAGTGCGGGGCAGGAGTTCTAGCTCTCCCTCTGCCTTTGAGACAAAAGTTTCACTCTTGGGAGCTTCACTAACTTCCTCCCTGAACTAAGCCCTATTGTTGTTGTTGAGTGCTGTCGAGTCGATTCCAACTCAGTGATCTCATTGGACAGAGCAGAACTGCCCCATAGAGTTTTCTTGGCTGTAATCTTTATGGAAGCAGATTGCCAGGTCTTTCTCTTGCAGAGCTGCTGAGTGGGTTCAAACCACCAACCTTTCAGTTAGCAGGTGAATGCTTAATCATTGTGCCACCGGGGCTAGGGGCTTAAAAATCCCTCACTCTCGTCCCAAATCCCATGTCCACTCCTGACCTGCTCCCTGTCTTGACCCAGGCACTGAGATCGCCATCATCTTGGATGGCTCAGGAAGCATTGATCCCCCAGATTTCCAGAAAGCCAAAGACTTTGTCTCCAACATGATGAGGACCATCCATGAAAAGTGCTTTGAGGTGGGCTTCTCTGAGAGCTGGTCTCACATATTCTATCAGTTATATGTTGCTGTGTAACAACAACCATTTTATTTGCTCACAATTCTATCGGTGAGCTATTTGGACTGGGCTCAGCTGGGTGGTTCTTCTGCTGGTCTTACCTGGGGTTACTCCTGCAGCTGCAGGCATCTGGTTGCTTGACTGGTGCTGGATGGCTTAACATGGCCTTAGTCACTGTCTGGCAATTGGTGCTGGCTGTTAGCTGAGCCAAATGTTTTCAGCAGGCCAGCCCAACTTTATCATGGCAGTAACATTCCAAGAGGGCAAGCCCCAATGCACAAGCACTTTTCCGTTCTCTAATTCCATTACATTTGCTGATGTCCCATTGGCCAAAGCAAGCCACATGGTCAATCCCATAATCAGTATGGAGGGGGACTACCCAGGAACATGGGGTTCATTGGGGAGCCATTATTACCACACCCTCCTTCACCCCTACTTGCTTAGACATTCCCCTCTGGCTTAGCATCTCCTCCTGCCCATGGATAAGGTGGAATCAGAGGGTCCCTCCACTGCTTCCAGGGGAAGCTATCCAAGGGGCAGGGGTGGCCTTGGGCACGGCAGCACTGCTAACCTGCTCCCCACCTTGGACACTTCCCTTCAGTGCAGCTTTGCCCTGGTGCAATACGGGGGCGTGATCCAGACTGAGTTTGATCTTCGGGACAACCAGGATGTGATGGCCTCCCTTGCCAGAGTCCAGAACATCACTCAAGTGAAGAATGTCACCAAGACTGCCTCAGCCATGCAGCATGTCCTGTGAGTGTGAGGGTGGTGGGAATTACCTACTGGGTGCTGGCTAGTAGCCCTGCTCAGAGGCTCTTTGGCACCATGCCTGGAGAAGGTGGAGTGGTGAAAAGGAGTAGATCAGGCCCATTTATATGAAATATCTAGAATGGGCAAATGCATAGAGACCAGAGTTTGTTAGTGGTTACCAGGAGAAAGGAGCCCTGCTGGCATAGTGATTAAGAGCTCGACTGCTAACCAAAAGGTTGGCAGTTCGAATCCACCTTGGAAACCCTATGCGGCAATTCTACTCTGACCTATAGGGTCACTAGGAATCCACTAGAGGGCAACAGGGTTTGGTTTTGAGTTTACCGGGAGGGGGAAAGAGGCAAAGTCATCGTTTAGGAAGCACTGAGTATCTGTTTATGGTGATGGAAAATTTGGTACAGATACAGGTGATGGTTGCACATCACAATGAAGGTAATCAATGTCACTGAATTATACATGTAAAAAATGTTGAATTGGCAAATGTTGAGTTATATACATTTTTACCACAATTGAAAAAAAAAAAACAAAGAAGAGGGGACCAGGGTTCTAGCTTTTCCCTGGCTGAGAGGGAATGTGAGGTCTTTCAGTCCAGCCTCGACTGATGGATGACACCCCCAGGACTGTCTTCTACAAATTCTCCTCACGAGCAGCAGTACAGCACAATGTTTACAAGGATGGGCTCCATGGCCAGGCTGCCTGGTTCAAGTCCCAGCTGCAGTTTGTACTTATATGTAGCCTTGCACAAGTTGCCTGACCTCTCTGTGCTTCAGATTCCTTGCTTTTAAAATGAGAATAATAATGACACTTGCCTCATAAGATTTTGAGAGGATTAGGTAGGTTAAAACATGTGCAGTGTTTACAACAGTACCTGGCCCAGCCTTCGAGTCCCATAAGTGCTATGTAAGTATTAGCCATTGTGATTAATATCATCGTTATTATTTCCTAATGTCATTGTTGTTCCTGCGCACACATAAAAGGGACAGACCCAAGTGCCATCCAACGCCTTTCAGTTAGAAGCAGGTGAGGAGCCAAAACAGGTGTATTGCAGCCCCACTTCTACCCAGCCTCACCATGTAATACAAGAGGCATCACTACCCCTCTTTGGGTCCTTGTTCCCCGTTTGGGGGCGCTTAATCCTCTCCGATTCTAAAACAGGTCCAGCGAATGAAATCTCTCCAGAGCCCAGGTGTCCTTCTGGCAAAGCTCCCCTCTTCATTTACTCTCCCCTACTTAGACACAACATCTTCACGCCAAGCCATGGCTCCAGAAAAAAGGCAACCAAGGTCATGGTGGTGCTCACCGATGGGGAAAATTTCGGGGACCCCCTCAACTTAACGACTGTTATCAACTCCCCAGAGATGCAGGGTGTCGAGCGCTTTGCCATCGGGGTAAGAGCCAGGAGCTGGAGGGCACCTTCTGAGCCTGCACGGACCTGGGCAGGGAGGGGCTGGGGCTCCTGATAGTGGCTTCTGGTTTTCCATCATCCTCTGTAAGCAGATTACAAACACTCACCAACTTCTCTTCTCCTGATCTCTGTGCCCCATGCCCCCCGCCCACCCGGGTCTTTCCACTGAGGGCTCATGCCCCAGTGGTGCTAACAGCTCACTCGCTGAGCAGGGAAGAGGAGGGCAGTGGACAACAGGGAAGATTCTTAGAGAAGATGGTACTGAGCTGAGTCTTGGAGGACAAACAGGAATAGCTACTAGGACATGGGGAGCGGGAAGGGCTTTGTAGGCAGAGGGAACAGCAGAGGTGAGAAGTAGCCTGGGGTGGTCAGGAAAACACATGTAGTTTGGTAAAACTGGAGCCCAGAGTGTGTGGGGAGAGAGAACAGGGAGCAGGGAAGGAAGAAGATGGGTGGTGGAGGGCCCTGGAGGTCAGGTCTGGATGGGTGGTGGAGGGCCCTGGAGGCCAGGTCTGGATGGGTGGTGGAGGGCCCTGGAGGTCAGGTCTGGATGGGTGGTGGAGGGCCCTGGAGGTCAGGTCTGGAGAGCCCTCAGGGCTGGAGGGAGCCAGTCAGCTTTCAGGGCACTGACGCATTGCCGGGGCACCTCTGCGCAGGTGGGGGATGCATTTAATAAGGATCGGTCTGACAAGGAACTGAAGCTGATCGCCTCAGACCCCGATGAGACTCATGCCTTCAAGGTGACCAACTACACAGTGCTGAATGGGCTGCTGAGCAAACTGCAGCAGAGTATCATCCACACGGAAGGTGAGTGCTCCGGGCCTCGTGCACCCTGTGGCAGCCCCTTCGGAATTCAGCAAGAAGCCCAGGCCCTGCGCTCCAGCCCCACCTCTGCTCCTCCCCTTTTGGCAGTCTGAGGGACTCTCATCACTTCTCTGAGCCTCAGTTTCTCCATCTCTAAAAAGACAACAATATCCCCAGCCCTGTTTATTTCCCAGAATCTCCGTGAGGCTCTGATGAATGAACTGGTACTGGAGACACAGGATGAGGGAAACTGTCTTGAAAAAGGGAGTGAACTGCTCGTGTTCCTAAAACGCAGACTGAACCCAGGACTCTATACTCAGCCTGGTGCTCTTCCCATGACACCCAACACTGTCCCTGGGAGTGAGGCCAGGCTGGACCCTTCCCCTCTCCTTTGCTTCACGGGGCTTCTTGGTTTCTAGGTGCGAGCGGAGATGCCCTTCACTTCCAGCTGGCACAGATTGGGTTCAGCGCCCAGATCCTGGATGAGGTATGTGGCCAACTCAGCACCAGCCGGCTCCCCCTTAGAGAAGGGCTGAGAGAGAAGGGTCTCAGTGACACCCAGGTATTCAGGGACTCCTGGCTGGCAGTGCAGAGCTCTGCCCTTCCCGGGGGATGCCTCTGAAGCAGCCATTTTAGGATCAAGGAAACCACTTCTGCTTGCTACCCCTATCCGGACTTTTGAGATAGAAAAACGTCTATATTTATTACAGACAGTGGTTTTGTTCTGTGTGCTCAAGGATTGAGCAATTTCCCTTAATTCAGATTAGAAAAACAGGATTTGGCCTGGGTGGGTTTGCCAGTCCACTTGCTTACTTCTCCCCACTGGACACACAACTCCCCACAGATGGACAGGTATGGCGAGGACACGGCACCGTCACTCCACACACAGACCTGCGTGCCAGGCCCGAGGAGGAGACAACTATCTTGCTCAATCATACTTTTTTTTTAATGCTCAGTATCTGGCCCCTGACCAACTTTCTACTCCTGGGCAGGGCTAGACTGGAGGCACAGGAACCCAGTGTTTGCCATCTCACCTTCTTGTCTGCATCTCTGGCCAGGTGGGCACAGGGCCTACAAGGTGCGCTTCTCTGGCCAGCAGAGCCGCGGCCACTGCCAGCGGCCCTTGGTCCCTCCGCCCAGATGGGCTTCCATCCCGTCCCTTGCAGGAGCAGGTGTTGCTCGGCGCCGTCGGTGCCTTTGACTGGTCGGGGGGCGCGCTGCTCTACAACACGAGCAGCTGTCGGGGTCGCTTCCTGAATCAGACGTCGGTGGACACCCAGGCTGCGCAGTACGGTTATCTAGGTGAGGGCGGGGCCTGAACATACCTGGTGGGGGCGGGGCCTAGACGGGGACCCTGAAGCGGCACAGCATGCCTCCTAGTGGGGGCGGGCCTTGGCAGGTCAGGTGGATGAGAGGCGGGGTCTGATGAGGGACCCCAAGGCTGACAATTATTGCTTCCTGGGTGGCTGTCCGCGGTAGGAGTGCGGCCCTGGGCGGCTGCCTAGGCGAGGATGAGGTCTTCCTTTTACTAAGGGTGGTAGACGTCCCCTCACCTCTCACCTCGGTCCTCGTATTGCATGGGTGATGAACGTGTGTATTTTTAGCCAGGCTGTGTGTATGACAGTGTATCACACATGTAGTGACCTGCGGCATGCATGAGTTGGGACCACTCACTAAGGGCGATTTTAAGGGTGAGAAAGACAGTCTCACCACTTTGAAGGCCTGACTGAGAAGGTGAGGGGACAGGGAATGGCCGGATGGGAGCTCCTGGTCACCACGAGCACTCCCTGGTCCCCACAGGTTACTCGTTGGCCGTGCTGCACGGGGCTGATGATCGCTTCTATGTTGCGGGTGCTCCACGGTACAAGCATCGCGGCGCTGTGTTTGAGTTCCGCGAGAAGGGCCCAGAGGCCAACTTCCTTCCAGTGCTGGAGGGAGAGCAGGTACCTGCTGGGGAAGACCCCCCTTATTATAAATGGGGGGCCCTGAAGCCCCGAGGGAAACAGAGCCCAGAACACAGTGTGGGTGAGGGTCCAGCCTGCGCAGAACTCAGGCTTCTGGGCAGAACTGAGGCCATATTCAGTGGCTGGGCCTGGGCCCTACATGTCTGATCTTTAGCTGGTTCCCTACATTGTAGAGCCCCTGGGTGGTGCAAACAGCTAATGCATCAGCTGCTAATCAAAAGGTTAGAGGTTCGAGTCCACCCAGAGGTGCCTCAGAAGAAAGGCCTGGTGATCTCCTTCTCAAAAATCAGTCATTGAAAACCCTATGGAGCACAGTTCTACTCTGACACACATGGAGTTGCCATGAATCAGAGACATCTGGTTTCCCTCCATTGTAGGGGTGGGGCTGCTCATCCCCTCTCCTGGTGTACTCTGGTGAGCAAATTGACCTGGAAGGACCCAAATCTGGTGGTCCAGGAAGAGCAGGAGTGGAGATCTAGCCCCCTGAGGGGAGGGGCGAGGCCCTCCCCCGCGCCCCTGGTGAACTGAATTCCTCCTGGGCTGCAGATGGGGTCCTATTTTGGCTCTGAGCTGTGCCCTGTGGACATTGACAAGGATGGGACCACAGACTTCTTGCTGGTGGCGGCTCCATTTTACCACGTGCATGGGGAAGAAGGCAGAGTCTATGTGTACCGCTGGAATAAGCAGGTGGGAGCGTCTCCATCTTTACAAGCTTGCTGAGGCTGTGGGTCCTCAGCCTGATGCAGAGCTGATGGAGGCTGGGAGTGCCCTGGCCCTGCCTTTGCACCAGAGGGCAGATGGTGATAGGAGGTGCTTCAGGGAGGATGCCTGCCGGGGCAGCCACTCCTCTTCTCCCCTCTCCCCAACTTTCTCACCCAAGGCAGTCGATGATAATGACGCCCCTTATAGCTGCACAGTTGACAAACCACAGTTGTCCATGATGTCACTTCTTTCTCACAATAACTATGGGAGGTAGCGGTCACCCCCATTTTACAGATGAGGAAGCCGAGACTCACTGATGTGGAGACTTGCTCAAGTTTATATAGCAAATGTGGGTGGAGCCAAGACTGGAGTCTAGGCCTCCAAAGTGCCAGCCCAGTGCCCCTAACCCAGGGAGCAGAAGGGGCAGGCGCTGGGCCCTGAACTGCAAGGCAGGAGGGCCCCAGCTTTACCACTGGCCCACCGTGTGACCTTGGGAAGACCCCTTTCCTTTTCTGAGCCTTAGACTCCCTGCTGGAGAATCAGAATCAACAAGCCCAGTGCATGTGCCTCCTGGGTGGTCGTGGTGGGGGGCTGCCTGTGTCCTTCTGAGGGCTGAGCTGCCTGGTTGCTTTACAGTATGGCTCCTTCTCCTTGGCACGCACGCTGAGTGGGCACCCCAAGTTCACCAATGCCCGGTTTGGCTTTACCATGGCGGCTGTCGGGGACATCAGTCAGGATAAGCTCACAGATGTGGCCATCGGGGCCCCGCTGGAGGGTTTTGGGGCTGACGATGGTGCCAGCTTTGGCAGTGTGTACATCTACAATGGACGTCAGGACGGCCTCTCCGCCAGCCCCTCACAGGTGAGCCGTGGGGCTTCACTGTGCGCATCCCCTCCTGCCTCTGTTTTGGGGCTCTGACCTCCCTGAGACGGCTACAGCCTGAGCCAGCTCCAGGCCTAAGTGCAGGCAGCCTCAGGGGGCTGGGAGTGCTCTGCGAAGGAGGGGGGTTCCAGGCCAGGACCTCACCCAGGCCCTTGGGGTGGGGGTGAGGGGGGCTGTAGTCATGCCTTCTATTTCTTGACCTATATCTCCCTCCTTCTTTGGCATTCCTGACCATGGTCTGCCTCAGGTCTCTCCTTCCTCTCTTTCTGTCCCTTCTCTGGCTCCTGTCCCCACCCAGCCCCTGCATGGCTTAACTCTCACCCCCCGGGCTCCATTGGCAACCCCTCATGCAATGTCTTTAATGGGCACCTTCACCCACCTCCAACTACAGTTTCTCTCCTGAGCTTCCACCCTGTCTGCCTCCCGAGCACTTCCACCCTGGATGGCCCCAGGCATCTCACTCTCACCCTGCCCCACCCGAAGGCATCCTCTTCCCACCAGACCTGCTGCTTCTCTGGGTTCCCTCCCGCTTCATCACCACCACCCAGACTGGAAACCGAGGGTAATCCCAGACACTGCGACCTCTCTCTCCCCTGCACAGCCGGTCAGCACCGCACCCCCCACCCCCAACGATTCTACCTTCTCATGCTCTCCCTCTTCTCCACCCCTACCACCACTGCCCCCACTGGACTCCCACCTCCTCCCAGCCTCCACCCTGGGCCTCCAGTGCAATTCTGATCATGTCACTTCTTCAAAAAAAAAAAGCCATCGAAGACACTCCCCACCCCCACTACAGGTCCAAGTCTAGCGCACATCAATTCAAATCCCTCCTTGCACCCAGCCTCCCTCCTGTACCCGCCCCCCCATTCCTCTGAGGACCCTGCTGTTTCTGCCTTTCAAGTCCCACCTGCCTTTTAAGGCCCCTTTCAAATGCCAATTCCTTTGGGAAACCTGGCCTTTCCCTTCCCTCTTGTTAGATTGAGGGACCCCCGGGGTGGGGACCGTGGCTGATCGTAATGGTTTGAATAAAACCAAGAGGACCTCCCCCTTCCTTACAGGCCCCACGTTTCTCCTTCCACAGAGAATCAGAGCTTCAGCAGTGGGCCCAGGACTCCACTACTTCGGCATGTCCCTGGCTGGTGGCTTCGATTTCAGTGGTGATGGCCTTGCTGACATCACCATGGGCACTCTGGGCCGGGCGGCTGTGCTTCGGTAGGGGTCTGCCCTCCCTTCTGGGGTCCCGGGCCCCAAGCTCACCCATTTTCTCTGCCCTAAATGGCCCCATGAAAACACCAGGCACTGATGGGAGCAGTTAAGGGCAGTGACTCAGAGCACAGGCTCTGGAGTCAGCCGTATGGGTTTGAACCTCAGCTCTCACTTAACAGTGTGCCCTTGGGCAGGTTATTCAACTTTTGTAAGTCCCAATTTTCTCATCTATAAATAGAAATAATAATAGCACCTTCCTCACAGGGTTAGGTGGCTTAAGTGAGGGGACATATGCAAAGTACTTAGCACAGTTGCTATCCATGGCATTGATGATGATGTTGAAGGATTTCAGAGTTTCTGTGCTCCATCCCTAAATGAATTATCAAGTCCCATGGCTTTAGATATCTGCCCTGTCCTCACCACTGAGCTCTAGGCTTGGCTGTCTACTCAACACCTCTCTTGGCTGTAGCTCACAAGCATCTCAAAGTTAACATGTCTAAAAAGTATTCTTATTCTCGTGCACCCCTTATTCTCCTAAAAGTTTGGGGCGTCCTTGATTCCTCTTTTTCCTTCCCCCATCACCCCTTCAACAAGGTTTTCTTGGCCCTGTCTCCAAACCATCTCAAATCCGTCCACTTGTCTCCATGTCTGCTACTGCCTTGAGTACAGGACACTGTCACCTCTCGCCTGGACCACTGCCATGGCGTTCTTCCCCGCTTCCACTTCCTACGCTCCATTCTCCACAGAGCGGAATGGTCCCTTCACTTTGCTGTTGAAAACCCCGCAGTGGCTCCCGTGTAGAGGAAAATCCAAACCCCTTACCATGGCCTCCATTCTCATCCCTGTTACTGCCATCTCTCACAGATTATGCACCAGTCACAGTGACCTTTGTATCTGTCAGACAAACCAAGCTCACCCCTGGCACACTCTTCTCCCGGATCGTCACATGGCTGGCTCTTTCTTGTTAACAGATCTCAACTTAAATGCCTCCTCAGCAGTGGGGCCATCCCTGAGCACCCAATCTAAGTAGGTCGCAGTCTCTATTTCCTTAGCCTGCTCTATTTTTATTATAGTTTTACCACCATCTGCTGTCCAGTTTATTCCGACTTGTGGCGACCTCGTGTGTGTCCCAATAGAACTGTGCTCCATAGGGTTTTCAATGGCTATGATCTTTTGGAAGTAGATTGCCAGACCTTTCTTCTGAGGTTCCTCTGAGTGGATTCAAATTCCCAACCGTTTGGTTAGTAGCCGAGTACTTAACCATATATGCCACCCAGGAATTCCATAACATTATCAATACATAGTATTTTCCTGTTTCTTCTTGTTTATTTGCTTGTTGTCTGGTTTCCCACTAGAGAGGGGACATACCTCTTTCTCTACTGTATCCTGAGGATTCAGAATAGTACTTGGCGTACTGGAGATGAATGAATGAATCAGTCAAGCCCTGGCCCAGAAGTTCTACAGTCGCATCTCATGGTCCTCTTGCTCTTGTCTTAGCTCAAGACCGGTGGTTCACCTGAAGGTGTCCATGAACTTCAGCCCCGAGGCAGTGCCTATTGGCTTCAACGGCAGTGTGAATGTGCATTTGTGCTTTGAAATCAGCTCTGGGACCCCAGCCACTGAGACAGGTAACAGGCAGCGCAGCTGACCCACCCATGTTGTACTCATCCCTTGTTGGTTCTATAGTGGGCAGGGAAAGAGGACTGTGTATGCGTGAGGTGGGTGGTTGGTGTGAGGGCTTGGTACTTAAAATCCTTTAGAGCTTAGCTACCTTGACATGACCAAACAAACAAAAAACCCCAAACCTTTTGCCGTTGAGTCAATTCCAATTCATAGCAACCCTATAGGACAGAGTAGAACATAGGGTTTCCAAGGAGCGGCTGGTGGATTCAAACTGCCAACCTTTTGATTAGCAGCTGAGCTCTTAACCACCATGCTACCAGGTCTCCACTTTGACATTAGGTTCTGTTAAATGTGAACTGCCCCAGGAAAGGGTGGTCTGATGCTGAGTCCGCACTCTGAAGAGATTTATCTGACCCTGTTGGGAGCAAGGGTATTGAATCCCTTCCTCAGGGTTGAAGGGTTGAGTTTCTGAAAGAAGATTCAGAAAAAGGCAGCCATTTTTCCATCTACCTGGATCTCTGTGGCTGCTAACCAAAAGGTCGGCAGTTAAAATCCTCCAGGCGCTCCTTGGAAACCCTATGAGGCAGTTCTACTCTGTCTTATAGGGTCACTATGGTTGGAATCGACTCGATGGCAATGGATTTGGTTTGGGTTTTTTGGAAACTCTGCCCACAAGCGTGTATGTGTATGCAGGGATTCCTGAAAATTGCCCTTTCCTCTTTCTCTCTGATTTACATCTTCTCCCCTTCCCCCATTATCGAGTCTCCCTGGCCCAGGCCCTGCCTCCCCTCCCAAGCCCTCACCTTACACTGGATACTGTTTCCAGCAGGCAGAGGCTGGGCCTGGCTTTCACAGCCCAGGAATTTACCGGCAACCCAAGAGCTTCCCTCCAGATTAATCCCTCAGCAACAGTCCCCAAGGCCTCATCTCAGTAACTATCCTTGAGATATCGCTCTGCTTCTCGCAGGTCAGAGAGCACTCTCCTGGGGTGGATGACTTCACCTCAGCAGGAGGACGTTATTGAATCCAGGGCTAGAAAGTGACAGACCTATCAGTTCCAGCTGTATAGGCTGCAAGACTCAGGGCACAGAATGTGAATAGCAGTTGCTGAGTGGCTGTGTGATGCTGGACAGGTGTCTTCCCTCTCTGGGCCCCAGTTTCTGTTCTGTCAGTAAGGGAATTGGCCTAGGTAATCCCCAAGATGCTTCCAGCTCTGCTATCCTCAGTTTCTATTCTTTGGTATTCCTCCTCCTTATTTTTCTCTCTCAACCCTAGCTTCCTCCCTGAGCCTTCCTCCCACAGGGAAGGCTGACTCAGCCCTGGAATGTGCTGGTCTGGGTTTGGTATGCACTGAGGGACCCTAGCTAGGTGCCAGAGGCCATGAGAAAGTACCTTTGAAGGAAAGAAGAAACTCAGGGGTCCTGCCCCAGGGAAGTGACTGCGGGAGACACCATTCAGGAGGGGCTCACAGGAACCTCAGGCAGTCTGGGGGCCCTGTACCTGGGGCTTGCCAGTTCCAGCCTCATCAGGAAAGCTTCAGAGAGACATCTCTTCCCAGGTCTCAGAGAGACGTCTCTCAACTTCACACTGGACGTGGATGTGAAGAAGAAGAGGAAAAGGCTGCAGTGTTTGGATGTGAAAACTTGTCTGAGCACTCTTAAGGAGTGGGGCAGTGGGTCCTGTCTTTGTGAGTCCTTTCAGCTCCTCCCCACGGAGAGAAAGGTAAGTGGAAGGGTTTAAAACAGAGCCCAGAGGGGTGTGTATCATTGAGAAAGGATTTGAGGTGCATGCAAAGAAGGAAATATACTTATACATATAAATATGGCAATGGAAATAACGATAATAGATCAAGAACCATGTAACAGCATGGGAAATGGAGATAGTTATACCAGAAATCCAGATTAAAGAAACCTAATGAAATTGAACACTACGTCTCTGAGCTTCCTGGAAACCTGGACAAAAAGAGAAATGCTCTAATTGCTGGCATTTTTCTTGTAATAAATCAGGAACCCCAGGTGTCCCTCCCCCACGTGATCAGTCGTCACCTGACAATAACAGTGAGGCTGAGAGCCTTTATGGGGGTCAACGTCAGCAAATTTAAGTGATTGAAAGGAAGAAATAGAAAGACAAAAGTTATCATTTAGAGATATTTACTCCCGGCAAAGGTGCTCAGAGACATGAAAAAATGTATTTGTCAGGATTCAGAGCCTGACAGGACCTAGAACTTGGACCTGTAAACATCATTTAGTCCAGTGAACAAGCTCATGAACGATACTTCTATTATACATCTGTTTCCAAGGTGAAATTGGATTTATTACTTGGATTAAGAAAGAGTTTCTAGCAAGTCTATGGCCTTCCTGAAATAAAAGCATAACTGCATTTTCCACCAGAGAATCATAGTCACCTATTTTCATGTCTTCAAAGCTCATATCATGGCAGAAACGCTCATTTGAGCAAAGAGAATGGCAAATGGCATCTAAGTGAGTCCCTCGTCTTAGGTTTTACCTCTCTAAAATCGCTACGAGTTAGAATCGACTCGACGGCAACGTTTTTTTTGGTTTTTTACCATGTCCTCCAGAGCCCCGATAGCATAGTGGTTAAGAGCTCAGCTGCTAACCATTCAGCAGTTCGAATCCACCAGCTGCTCCTTGAAAACCCTATGGAGCAGCTCTACTCTGTCTTATAGGGTTGCTATGAGTCAGAATCGACTCGATGGCAATGGGTTTGGTTTTTATATGTGTCCTCCCCGCTGCTTTGAGAAAGATCTTTGTAAAATACCCTTGTCATGTGACCATGACTTCCTGTCAGTGGCTCCCACTTGCCCCATGAATAAAGTCCAAACCAGTTCTTAACTCCTGATGGCCAGACCCCTTTGTGGTTGGGATGAGAACCAGAAAAAGTTAGAGGCCATAGCAAATCAAGGAAGATTTTTTTTTTTTTTTTCCAAAACTCATGGAAGCTTGTTTGAAGGAAGCTTCCTTTCAGCCTGGCTTATTGGGAAGATGCTTAGGACTTCTGACTCACCACTTGCATTGTTTACTTCTTATTACACCTACATCAGAGTTACAAGTGTTCTCCTTGTCATCTCCTCCCCCCTCTCCAAACCTGCCTTCCTTGGTGGCCCTGCAGCTCTATGAGGAAGACCGCTTCTCCAACGTCAGTGTCAAGGTCAGCTACCAACTCCAGACTCCCAAGACCCACAAGGACCATCCCTATCCCATCCTGGACCTCTACACTGAGCCCTCTGCCATCTTCCAGGTGACTGGGCCCACAACTAGGACCCAACCCTCCAAAGGGCCATCCCCGCAAAAAACACCTACTCCCCTAACTTAAAAAATGTTAAAGGTGGAAGGGCCTCCAGATAGTAGCCAGGCCCCTCACTGGATAAATGGGGAAACTGAGTCCTGGAGAAGATGTTAACTTGCCCAGGGCCTCACTGATGGGTAACACAGGTCTCCAAACCACTGCCCAAGGTCAGTTCCTTTATGTTCACAAAAAGTGCTTGTTACGTATTTAATGAAGCATATGGGTTGGGTACCAGGATCTTCACTTGACAAGGGTCTCTGATGACTGAGCGGTGTAGGTCCCCTGTGGGGGCTGGACTGCAGCTGTCTTGCCTTGTGCTGCAGGGGGCATACCCTTTGGCGTACCTGCCTACAAGGCCCTGCCCAGGGCCTTCAGGCTGGATGTCTGGCCCACCAAACCTCCCCCTAAGCTTTTCTCCTGGTGTCCAGCAGTGTCACAAGAAACTTCGTAACAAAGGGAGATCGGGGCGGGGGGTGGGGGTGTGTGCAAACAGCCAGGGTTCCTGAGCCTGTGGATCTAGGGTGATTTTTTCCCATCCTGTCCACCAGACTGTTCTGTCAGTCTCTATTTCTAGACTCATAGAGTCTAGAAAGATCAGCAAGAACAAAGAAGTGACAAGGTAAGCATTAAAAAGCAATTAATTACAGTCATTTGGAATGAACTGAGTCTTAAAAAAAAAGCCAAAGGTTTTCATGCTGGCACAGAAAAGCCTCAGGTAATCATAGGACACATATAGACTGTCTGATATGTTTACAGAAATGCTCTGTTAATTACATTGACTAAGTTGACTTAAACTATATCAACCTTAAGTTTCAATTAAAAAAAAAAGCACCTGCTCTCCAATACCCAATATACCAGTCACAATAGTAAGAAGAAATAGAACAGCATAATCAGGGTGACTGTTCCCATTGCTCATCTGCCTAGAAAGAGGGAGAATCAGGTCCCCTGTGATTGAAGATTGTCATCTTCATTTCTTAGCTGAAGAGATTGTATTTAAAGGCCATTTCTTTTTGGTATTGACAGCAAGTTAGATGATTCAGAGAAAGTTGGGAGAACTAATGTAATAAAATGTTGGTGATAAGTAGATTATCACTGATTATATATGTTCTGCTTTTTAAAGCTTTTTATTTAGAAATATTTGATTTACTGAAAAGTTACAAGAATAGTACAGAGAATTTCCATATACCCTTTACCCAGATTCTCCAAACATTAGCATGTTACTATGTTTGCTTCACTGTTCCTTCCCTCTCTCTCTCTGGGTGTAATGTATACACACATACAAATAGATACACACATACGTATTATTTTTTGAACCATTTGAAAGTAAGGGACAGACATGCTACCTCTTGACTCCCTAATACTTCAGTTTATATTTCCTAAAATTTAAAGACATTCTCTTATATAACCACAGCAAAATTATCAAAATCAGGAAATTAACATTGATAAAATACTATTATCTAATCCACACACTTTATTCCCATTTTGCCAGTTGCCCTATTAATGTCCTTTTAGGAAGAGTTTTTTTCTGGTCCAAGATCCAATTCAGGATTATTCATTGCATTTCGCTGCCATTTGTCTTTGTTGTTAGTCGCCAAGGAGTCAGTTCTGACTCATGGCGACCAGTCTCCTTTAATTTGGAATAGCTCCGTAGTCTTTCTTTGTCTTTAATGACGTGTGACTTTATTTTATTTATTTTAAATATTTTATCGTGTTTCAGTGAGAGTTTACACAGCATATCATTGTTGTTGTTGGCAGGTGCCATCGAGTCGGTTCCGACTCATAGCAACACTGTGTACAACAGAAGGAAACACTGCCCAGTCCTGCGCCATCCTCACAGTCACTGCTGTGTGTGAGCCCATTGCTGTAGCCACTGTGTCAGTCCGTCTTGTTGAGGGTCTTCCTCTTTTTCGCTGACTCTCTACTTTACCAAACATTCTGTCCTTTTCCAGGGACTGGTCCCTCCTGATAACATGTCCAAAGTACATGAGACCAAGTCTCTCCATCCTCGCTTCTAAGGAACATTCTGGACAAACAGCAGGTTAGGTTCCCATTTGACAATTTCTACACAAATTATTCAGTAACATTGGTTACATTTTTCACAATGTGTCAACATTCTCATTAATTCCGTTCTGGTTGTTCTGTTACCTTCTCATCTTTGCTTTAGGGTAATTGTTGACCATTTGGTCTCATAGATGATTTTGTAAAGGAACAGGTTGTATTCTTTATTTTATGAGCCACTCTGTTATTTAGCTAAAAGGTAACCTCAGGGACTAGTTTCGCTTCAAGTTTAAAGAGTATCTCAGGGCAATAGTCTTGGGGAGTCTTCCAGTCTCAACTGGTCCAGTAAGTCTGGACTTTTTAAGAATTTGAGTCATGCCAATTATTTTATAGACTGTTCCCCATTTCAGTTTGTCTGGTATTTTCTCGTGATTAAACTCAGGTTGTGAATTTTTGGCAGGACTATCACAGAAGTGATGTTTTGTCTTTCTCAGTGCATCGTGTCAGGAGGCAATGATGTTGACTTTCCTATTACTGGTGATATTTCCCTTTGTAATTAATTTAAGTACGTATCCTGTTTAACATCTGTTTATGATTATTACCTTCAGCCATTACTATGATGGCTTGGTAAAGAGATTAAAAAAAGTCTCACCTATAAAATGGGTGAGGAGAAATTGCCTGGTGTTAGGCATTTATATGTTTCCAGAGAATGAGTTCTAGCTGAAAGCTTAGGTGCTTTAACCCTGTTCTCTTTCACTGAATTTAGGTGAAAAAGAGCAGGCTACTTAGCTATTTTAAAAACAAAACAACATGCGAAGATTGTTGAAATGGCAAATGTTTTGTTACCTATATATTTACAACAATAAAAAACTGCAAAAAACAAAAACACCTACACAAAACGGTTAACACAGTCAGAGCTGCAGGCTCTGGTTCTGCAAACTGTGTGTCGCTTCTCCAGGAAGTAGAAAGTCTCCTTCCTAGCTCTGGACCCCCATTCCAGTCCCAGCCCACAGTAGCAGTTCCTTTGTAAGGCTGCTGAGGTGATCACTGACTGCTGGGGAGCTAGTTAAGGAGCTGGCTATGTTTCTGTCATCATAAAAATACAGCCTGCTACTTTAAAAATGTTGATTTTTCAACCTAGACTAGGGCTTTTCAACCTGGACTGGGCCTCTTGGACCAAACGTGACTTTTAAGGTTAGCTTGTTTTAGTTTGGGCAAGATTATAGGGGAAATATTTAACCTACGGGGAAGTCTGGCCATAAGGGCAGAGGACCTCACAGGACTGGGCCCTGACAGTATTTGATTAGATTTCCCCCTTCCTGCCCCGGCTGTTCTGCCTGTATCTGAAAGAACTAAAGAAGCTTTTCTTCACGTAGTTTTTCTTCCCAAATGTGTTCAAAGAAGTGAGTTGCATGTGTCACTACTTTCTCTTGATGTGCATGTGACGGCACTCCACGATTCCAGGATGATCATCCCATTTTTGATCTTGGCCAGAGGCCTGACTTATGGTGTGCCTGTACTGTAGGACCAGATACATCCCTTATCCTGACGATCTTCATAGGGTAGACCAAGGAATGTCACAGTCACAGGTCTCTTGGCCAGGCGGGCACCATCCCAGCTTCACCCCCCTGTAACTGTCTTCTTAGAGTAAGCAGGACAGTGGGTTCTCTGAAGAAGATCACAAGGCAGGGCTGCAGGGGGTGGCAGGGTCCTGGGCTGATCCTGCCTTTCTTTGTCTGCTTACAGCTGCCCTACGAGAAGGCCTGCAAGGATAAGCTGTTTTGTGAAGCTAAGTTACAGCTGACCACCACCATCTCTCAGTGAGTTGGATCCTGTCCTCACAGTTTCTGCAGTTAATGGAAGGCTTCACCCTGAAGGCTTACCTGGGCCACACCTTCATCAGGATTGATTGCTTACTTCCTCCTGCCTTCTCCTCAAAGCCCATGAAGGGCTTTTGCATTTCATCTCATTGCATCCTCAGCCGAGGGAAGCAGGATGGAAGTTTATATTTCCATTTTGTAGATGAGGAAACTGAGGCTCAGTAGTTGAGGGGCCTGTGTGGGATTACAGTGGTCATTTGATAGACTTTGAACCCAGGTTTCTTAACATCCTGAACAATGCTGTTGTCATAACCCAGTGTCCCTCACTCCCAGGACCACCTCAGTTAGAGGTAACTTCTTCCCTGGCTCACCTCTTGGCCAGATTCATTCATTCACTCATGAGATATTTATTGAGCCCCTACTCTGTGCCAGGCACTGTTCTAGGTTTTGGGGATATATCAGTGAACAACAGGGACAAAATCCCTGCCCTCCTGATGCCTTTAAGGAGACAAAATAATGAATAAGTAAACTATAAAATATGTTGACCAGATGTAGTATGGAGCAAAATAAGGCAAGGAAGGCAGGATGGAGTGCCGGGTGGGGGTGGAGTTGCAGTTGTATGTAGGGCTGTCAGGGAGGGCCTCCCTGAGAGGCGACATTCTGGCAAAGACAGGAGGAGGTGGGGGAACGAGCTGTGTGGATGTCTGAGAGCACCTGCACGTGTCCTGAGCTGAGAGCATGCCTGGCAGGTGGGATGAATGGCAGGGACACCAGTGTGGTTGGATTGGAGGGAGGGAGGTAGAGAGTAGTAGGAAAATAGGTCAGAGAGGTAATTTGGGGAGGCGAGGTGTTATATAGGGCTTCCTGGGCCTTCCATAAGGGCTTTTACTGTGAGCTGGGGAGCCGGAGGAATGGCATTTTAACAGGATCGTTCTTGCAGCTGTGTTGAGAATAAAGTGTAGGAAGAAAGGTGGAGCTGCTGTAATAACTCAAGTGAGAGGTGATGGTAGCTTGGACCAGGGTGGTGGCAATGAAGGCAGTTATATATTCTGAAGCTAGAGCCCACAGGATTTGCTGATAGATTGCATGTGGGGAATGAGACAAAGAGAGGGACCTAAGATGTCTTTACAGGTTTCTGCTTGAGCATCTAGAACTGTGCTGTCCAATACGGTAGCCACTAGCCACATTTGGCTATTTAAATTAACTAAGATTAAATAAAATGAAAAATTCTATTCCTTGGTTACCACTTTTCAAGTGTTCAATACCCACATATGGCTAGTGGTATTGGACAGCGCATGTATACAACGTTTCCATTACTGCAAAAAGTTCTACTGGACTACACTGAATTCTAGAAAGATGGAGTGACAACTGAATTGGGGAAACCTTTGGAAGAATGGTTTTGGAGGCAGAGTGTGGAGGGAAAGACCAGGAGTTTGGTTTTGGATATGTGGGGGTCCTAAAATGCCCTCCCTGGCCACTAGTTCTGTGGGTGTAACATGGTACTGGTGATCCTCAGCTGGGCAAAGCTGGCATCTATGAGGAAGAATGCTGATCCCCGAGTCCTGGTAAGCCCGCTCATAGTGTGCAGGAATTGCATTTCAGATGTGGCTGGCTTGAGGCTGCCCTTCCCAATCACTGAGGGCCCAATTCAAGACATTAAAGTGGTTTGGAATCAAGCCTAACAAGCAGATGCAGCTGTTTCCAACAAGGAATTAATTACAGCCTAGAACCCCCCCGCCCAGGGAAGTCTCTGTGGACTATAAATACAGCACACACAGCTTGCCCAATACTACCACCTAGTGTACATAGCAAGTATGTCTCCTCTTTATTCAAAAGTATTATGGAGCCTAATTGTCAGCATCCAACTGAATCAGTGGTTTTTAACCTTTCTGTGGACCTGGATCCCTGAAAGAACCTAATGAAAGCTACAGGCCCCTCTCCCTAGAAGATCCCATGTAATACATAAATGTTTGCACTCAGGACCCTCTGATACTGTCCCTGGACCTCAGGTTAAGAATCCTTGTTAAATATTCTGATGACTCTCAGTTCTCTCTTGGGCTCTATTCAGCTGACATTTAAACATCTCTACCTGTTATCCAGGAGTCCCTGGCTAGCGCTTGACTACTACAAAAGGTTGGCAGTTCAAACCCATCCAGAGGCTCCTCAGAAGAAAGCCTGGTGATCTGCTCCCGAAAGATCACAGCCTTGAAAACCCTGTGGAGCAGTTCTACTCTGCACGTGTGGGGTCACCATGAGTTTATGGCAATTAACAACAACCTTGTTATCCTACAGGCACCTCTCCTCATGTCCCAAGCTGAACTCACCATCTCAGCCACCAGTCTGGCCTTCCTCCTGTGTTCACTCCCTCAGTCGATAGCACTATTCAGTCTCCAAGCTGGAAACTCAGGACTCATCCTACTCTTATCTCTCTTTTGCTCTCATCTTTGCTTTCTACCCTTCCCCTATACCCCACTACTGCTGTCTTATTTCAGCCACATGTCATCTGTCAGATCAGATGCTCTGACTGGTCTCTGCCTCCTATCTCTCTCTCCAGTCTATCTGTCCTTTTCTCAGCTGCCAGAGTGATTTTTTTTTTCAAATACATCTCATTTCTTCCCAGAGCTGCACATTCCTTCTTTGGGCTTTCAGATGGTTGGAAAGTCTTCTTTCTGATGTTAATGTCTGTTCTTGTAGATCTCAACTACAGACGCTGGTTCTGCATTCTGGGGCCCCAGTACCTCTGTGGCCTGAAGGAAGTTCTCGTGTATCCCCAAGTCTTCTTTTCTCCAGGCTAAACAGATCCAGCCTTTAAGGTGGCAGGGCCTTAATGATCTTGCAGGTGGGAAGGCTGAGGCCAAGAAAGGGGAAGCTGTATGAGGGCAGGCACAGTGTCTGTCTTGTGTGCCACTGATCTCCAGTGCTGAGCAGAGTATCTGCAGAGTGGAAGAATTTGTGTAATGAAGTCCCTTGCCTAGGGTCACAATAAATTGGTAGTAGGAACAGGATCTGGACCTAATTCTCCCAACTCCTTCTGAGGCTGCTTTTCTAGACTCTGGTTTCCTCCTCCATATAAAATGGAATCAGAGTAATTACTATTTCATAGGGTTATGAGAATTAATTGAGCACATGAAGCATTTAGCACAGTCCCTGGTACATGGTAAGCACTAAATAAATAAATAATAAATAAATACCATCTTCCACATCAGCTAAGGGAGTGTGGCAGTCCAGGTGTTTGCTTATGTTGAAGGAAAGATGCTCTAGGCTTAATGTATCCTGTAGGCAGCTTACCTAAGAAGTCAATTAAAAATGGGCTATTAAAATAAAATTTAAAAAACGAAGAATAAAAAAAAAGGGCTATTATATTGCGTATGGAGCTCTGGTGGCACAGAAGTTAAAGCACTCACCTGCTAACTGAAAGCTTGACAGTTCGAACCCACCAGCTGCTCTGTGGGAGAAAGATGTGGCAGTCTGCTTCTATAAAGATTTAAAACCTTGGAAACCCTATGGGGCAGTTCTCCTCTGTCCTATAGGATTGCTATGAGTCGGAATCTGACTCGACAGCAGTGGGTGGGGTTATATTGTATCTAGGTTTTTCCAGATTAAGTAAACTGGTAACATTTTTATCTGTTCATATACCCTGTGCAGGGAGGAATTGGTGGTGGGTCTCACAAAGGAGCTGACTATGAACATTAATGTAACTAACGCTGGGGAAGATTCCTACAGGACAAACTTGACTTTGAAATACCCCAGAAACTTACAGTTTAAAAGGATACAAAAGGTAACTATGAGAGCAGCTTCGGAAACAGGCTGTTCATGTCTGTCCCTCACTCATACCTGTTTTTTTGCAGCGACCTCCTGCCTGGTTCTCCTGCCTCCGGCTTCATCCTGGTCCATCTAATAAATGTTTATTAACTACGTGAATCCCCTGCAATCCATCCATATGCCATGGACCAGTCACGCCATTCTCTGCCTCCAGAACCTCCAATGGTGCCCTTTTGTTGCACCAACACTCCTTTCTGCCTGTAGCCTTTCTTAACCAGGGTTCTGAGAGATAAATAAACTTTAATGCTGTAAGGCCTTGAGAGAGTAGAAATTAACTGGCCTGGGAAAGTAAAAATCTGTCTTGCCATTCATCAGGTAGGTCCCTGAGTGGCGCAAACTGTTGGCGCTCAGCTACTAATTGAAAGGTTGGCACCACAGAAGAAAGGCTTGGCAATAAAAAATCCAAACCAAACCAGTTGCCGTCGAGTTGATTCTGACTCATGGTGACCCCATGTGTTGTATAATAGGACTGTGCTCCATGGAGTTTTCAAGGCTGTGACCTTTAGGAAGCAGATTGTCAGGCCTTTCTTCCAAGGCGCTTCTTGGTGGACTCAAACCGCCACCCTCTGTTTAGTAGTCAAGTAGCTTAACTGCATCACCCAGGGACTCCACCATAAGATCACAGCTCTTGAAAACCCTCCGGATTACAGTTCTACTCTGACACACATGAGGTTGCCAAGAGTTGGAATTGACTTGATGGCAATGGGTTCGGGTTTTTCTTTCTTTTTTTTATTCATTAGGTTGGGATCACAGACACAAAGCCAGCTGCAAAGATAATAGGAGACAGTATTTCTCCCACGGACACCCTGAAGCTGGAAAGTATCATAAAACTGAAAAATTGTGTTCTGCTCTCTAAAATCATAGACTATCAGAAACTTTGCTGTCGGAAGTTACATCAGTAATTATAAAACCATTTTGCTCTTGCCTGGAGAGTCTAAGTCACTTTGACAAAGAGAAGCAGTCTCGATTTCTGAGTTGCAGAACTTCAGATAAAGAGTTTTTGGACACATCATTGCGGATCTATCTTAACTTTAGAGTTTCCAAGGAAATGAGTCCTTGGGTGATGTCGCAGTCCAGACCTGATGTTGACTGACCCCTTTACAACAGCCCTACTTGCTTTAAGCCTATGAAAATACTGCTTTATTTAAATTTCACCTAAATTCCACTCTTCCCCAGAATACTTTAATCTGTCTTTTTTTTTTAATGAGATGCACCCAGGGCTTCAAACCAGTTCTGCCCAGTTCAGTCATGGCTGATAAAGTAAAACCTGAACGGACCTGAATTTTTAAAAGGTGGGTGAAGCAGGACAATAAGAGGAACGGGAAAAATTACAGATTGAAGCCCTGCTAGAAACTTAATCTCCTTCTTAGAAAACAAGGGCAGCATGTGAGTTGCATGGCAATCAAATCTCTTGACCAGCAGAGTCAGAAACAGTGGTGCCCCACTCATAGATGGAGGCCAACCTCACCACTTTGAATATGTCATCCTCCACATTCCTGACAGTAATCCAATCTCCCACATCAGGCTTCTGAAGGAGCTCACTACGTCTCTTCTGAGTCTCCCATTCCAGGGCTTCAACCCTTCATTTTTCCCATTCTTATTGTTCTGCTTCACCCAAATTAAAAAATTTTGTGTTTGGTCCAATTTTGCTTCATCAGCCATGACTGAACTGGTTCAAAGCCCTGGATGCACCACAGTGGGGTTTTCCTCACTGCAATGAGTCAATAAACCTGACGTTTTTGAACCACAAGTTTGTCCCCGGTGAGCTTTAGGCTCACTGAGAGAGGACAGCATCCATTATGTGAAAAAAATGAACTTACTCCGATGCATCCTGAATGAAACTAGTGAAGTACCATCTGTGGTCCAGATGAGGAGCCATGGTTGAGAAAGGCTGCATGGCAGGGCTTGGGCTCACACCTCCTTCCAGCCATCTCAGTATATTACAGGTGCATCGGTCCAAGGCCCAGTCCAAACGTCTCCCTCCCCACGAAGACTTTAGATTTCTCCTAGTTGGAATTAAGGAATCTCTGGGTGGTGCAAATGTTTAAGCGTTCAACTACTAACTGAAAGGTTGGCAGTTCAAACCTACTTAGACGCGCCTCAGAAAACAGTCCTGATGATCTGCTTCCAAAATGTCACAGTGTTGAAAACCCTGTGAAGGAGTTCTTCTCTGCACACACAGGGTCGCCATGAGTCAGAATAGTCGACAACAACTGACAACATTAGTTGGAATTAATCTCTTTGTCTGCTGGTATTCTCTGTACTCCTCTCACAGACCTACTCTTTAGGCCTTGTATTTAAATTCCTTAATGATCTGACTGGGAGGAAGGCAGGGACCAAGTTTGATTTCTGTATTCTGTGCTCCAGATAGGGGTGCCTGGCATATGGAGAAATCAGTGAATGTTTGCTGAATTGATGTGAGGGAATTGCTTCTTTTTTTTTTCCCTTCAACAACAGTGTCTTCCTCTGTGTTCACAGCCTCCCTTTCCAAATATTCAGTGCGATGACCCTAAGCCAGTTGTGTCTATCCTGGTCATGAACTGCAAGATCGGTCACCCCATATTCAAGAGGTCGTCTGTGAGTCTGTTTTGATTGGTTGGCTCTTCTCACTCCCCTGGAGTCCGAATCTCTCAATCATGGTCCCCACATCTCTTTACTGCACAGTCAATCCACAGCAGCACTGAGAACCCATAAGGTTGCTCTGAAAGTAGGGAGTGGGGGCGGTGGGGGATGGTTTCCCAATATACAGCCATAGACATAAACCCGAGTTGGGGATAACAGGGAAGGAGCATCAGAGTAAAAATTATGAGTCCCAAGGGAAGTCCTGACCGGCTATTGATGGTCTTTGTGTTGCTGGGCAGTCACTGGTCTCTCTGGATCAGTTTTTTCCATCTGTAAAATGGGAATAATGCTGTCTGTCCTGCTTACTCTACATCAACATAGTGAGGCTCAAATGAAATAACAAATGTGGAAGTTGCTACAAAAATATGAGGATGTATGAATTGTTTCCTAGGCTTGTTTAGTTATTAGAAAGCAATTTGAGTTGTGAGTGGTATAGAGAGAAATAAAAAAAAAAAACCTATTGCTGTCGAATAGATTCTGACTCATAGTGACCCTATATGACAGAGTAGAACTGCCCCATAGGGTTTCCAGGAGTGGCTGGTGAATTCGAACTGCTGACTTTTTGGTTAGCAGCCGAGCTCTCAACCACTGTGCCACCCGGGCTCAAGTGACCATTTTTTTCCTTTAAAACAGGCAGACCTTTTGGTAGTTTGGCAGCTAGAGGAGAATGCCTTTCCCAACAGGACAGCAGACATCACTGTGATGATCACCAAGTGAGTAGTGCCCGTATCGCACTAGGCTCCGGCTGTGGCCCTGGAAGAACTCTCCTTCCCATGCATGCTGTGAGAGCGAGGGCTCCCCATCCCTGTGGCCCATGGAGGAAGTATCCGTGAGCCCACAGAAGGCACCTGTGCCCCTGCAATGACTCAGCTTGGTGGCGGGGGGGGGGGGTGCGTGGTGGCAGAGTCACCCCTGCAGGGGAACTTGTTAAAATGCAGATTTCTCAGCCCCACCCTAGACAAACTGAACCAGTCAAGGGGGAATCCCAACAATCTGCACTTTAATAAGCTCTCCTGAAAATTCTTCTGTACTCCAATTGCTTTATCTCTGAGAACCTTTTCTTTTCTGACCTCTAATGGCCCTGGGAAGCCAAGATACAGAAGCAGCTGTTAATGTACAAAGCGGGGATGCTGGGAACTGACAGTCTTTATTTCCTAGTTCCAATGAAAGAAGTTCTTTGCCTTTGCCCAGTAAGACCACACTTCGATTCAAGCATGCCTTCATTGCAGTTCTTACCAAGTAAGTACTTCCAAGGGGCCAACACCAGTGACTGCCTGTGCCTGGGGGATAGCTTCAGGCAGTCTGTCTTGTGCTTGGAACTGGTGGTCAGGATGGATGTGGGCCTTGCCCTTCTTCAAGAGGAGGCTGCTTAGAACCAGGCTCCGACATTGATCTCCAGGACACTAGGAAACTCCAAAATGAGCCCTGGTGGCGCAATGGCTAAGTGCTTGGCTGCTAACCAAAAGGTCAGCAGTTCAAACCTGGCAATCTGCTCCTGTCAAGATTACAGCCTTGGAAACCCTATGGGGCAGTTCTACTCTGTCCTATAGGCTTGCTATGAGTCAGAATCGACTTGACAGCCCACAACAAGAAACCCCACAGTGGTATCAAAGGAGGAGCAGTGCCAACTGGTCTCTCTGCAGAAGGGTACCCTTGTGATACTAAGGAGGGAAGAGAGGGGCTGTGGGGTGGGAAAATAAAGAGGAAGAAAAGTAGGGCCATTCTGTGGAGTGATACAGAGCTAGCCCAAGTGTACAGAATTCAAATATTCCACTTCATCCCAACTGCCCTACAGCCACTTCACATTTTGACACCCAGCTTTGATTCCCCTTAAGGATCCAGTGCCCTCTGTCCTAGTGTACTTAGTTGGTAGCATTACACATGTCCTCTCAATTGCAGACCATCGGTGATGTACATGCTTACAAGCCAGAGGCCTTCTGACCACAAAGAATTCCTCTTCAATGTAAGTACTTAGTGCTTATCACTGCAAAGCTACAGGTGGCAAAGCAACCCCAGCTTTGACTTCCCACTCTCTGATTTTATTTTGCAGATACATGGGGAAAATCTCTTTGAAGCCAAATTCCAGTTGCAAATTTGTGTTCCACTCCGAATACAAGCCTTTCAGGTTGTAAGAGTGAAGAACCTGACAAAGACTCAGGTACTTAAATGCGGTTCTCTATCACAATCACGTCACCTTCTAGAGTGACTATGGATTCCCAGAAGTATAAAAACTAGAGTTCTAGAAAAGGAGTAAAAACTAGATTAACCATGGTAAAACAGGAGTAAATTACCAAAGTCATGTTTAGAAGGAATATCAACCACTCAGATCTTAAGGCAACATTTTGGTTTTTCTCCCCTTGATGAAAAAATAAGCAAAAATTCAAACCTTTTTAGTAGCCATGGAGACGTTTATTTTTCCTTTGAAAACGGATAAACTTCTGCTTCTTTATGTGATTGGTAAGTGAGCTTGATAAACATGTGGCATTTGTCTCAGGTCTCCTATAAATTATCTACCGTCTTCCTTTCCTCCCTCCAGTCTGTCTCTTTGGGTCTCTGCTGCAGCATCTTTGCTTTCGGTTGTGACTCCTCTCGTCTGTAGTCTGGTTCCCAAAGCCAAAGCAGTAGGCTCTGATCAGTATGACAGTGGAGGCCTTGTGCTTTCCCAATTTGTTTTGGCTCAGGCTACATAAAGTGTCAAGGCTCAAAAATGAAAATATGGAAAGGCATTTACAGAGTAGACTCTGCTGACCAAAAGAGACCTTATAAGTTGTAAACAGTTGTTCTCACGTGCAGTGTGCTCATAGCAGTTTAATCATTTCGGTAGTACCACTCGGAAACAGAATCCTTGTTTGAAAACATGTAAGAATGGGAATTCCACCCTGCTGTGGGGATGCGGATTGAAAACAGTACCTCTAGGGGCTCCAAGATCAGTGCCTTCTCAGTTTGGGGCTGTACGGCACGTTCGACTTACTTAAATAGACTGTGTTGGCAGAGCAGCTCAGTGGCAGAGCTGTAGTTCAGCATTGTCTTATAGAAATGCTGGATCTCTCGCTTCACTTGCCTCATGGCAGAGGTGTTATTTTTATGCTTGAAGGTCACTTGTTTCAGAATCTTATCTGTGAGGTAATGTAGCCAAAGCACATTATTATGAGGGTGGTATTCACCCCAGCAGTTATTGTTCTCCTTCCTCATTAGCCTGTAGATCTCAAACTGGTAGTCACCTTCACCTGTAAATAGGTCCTCATCCATGGAAATGTCACAGAAAACCACTATTCCATCCCGCTCCAAGCGCGAAAGGGTGTAGTCAATGATGTTGACATGCAGCCCACAGGTGGGGATAGAGCTTGTCTTCCCGTTGAGGGTGTAGTGGAGCTCTTTGAGGTTGGTCTTCTTTAAGAGCACATTCCCCCAATGTAAATCTCGGTGCTCAAAGTGCAGTGATGCCTCTGCCACAGCCAGGGACGCAGTGATCTGATGTAGAATGCTCTTTGCAGTAGCCATGGAGGACAACTTTGTACTCATTCGCTCTAAGTCAGTCCCTCCAAACTCAAATTCCAGCACAATGAAGAGCTGGTGTTCATCAAAAAAGTCAGGCCGGTCATTTGCAGACCCTCTGGTTGAGTTATAGTGATCCCAGGCTCTGAGGAGCAAGGGAGGGTAAGACCCTTGGACACAGTGCACTGAGTTCAGCCCAATAAAGCCTTCTGTGCGGTTGTGTACTTCATCGGACAAGAGGCTCAACTCTTTGGAGATGATGATCTCTGGCAGGATTTCCTCAAAGGTTTTCTGATGGGATCCATTGACTAAACCCTGTCCTTCGATAGCAATGATTTTTAGGGCTACAGGTGTATGATTAGCAATTGTTTGAAAAACTTCGCCAAACACTCCTTCCCCAATCTTCTCACAGTGTTCCAATTTTTCTGTGGAAAGGCAGCAGCTAAAGGGCACAGGACCTTCCTGATTGCATTCCCCATAAACCTTTTCGGCATCAGATGCCTTTTTGTCTACATGTAGAGTCTTTAAGGGGCTTAGCAAATATATGGAGGAGGAGTGCCAAGGGGACAGAGCACCGTTTGTTCTGTTCATGATAGGAGGGTTTGAATATTCTGATATGAGGGACTCCGAAGGAGAAATGGCAATGATGGAGCTGCTGCACACTTCTGGCACAGCGGTCACCATCTTCTTCTTGTGGAAAGAGAGGGAGGCCCTGGTTCTTGTCCAAGAGCAGGTATCCTGTAAATGGTTCTGGGTGAGGAATGAATCTGTTTTCATCTTTTGGCCCTTTTTAAACAGGTAGTAATGGAGCAAGGAGCTTTCTGCTACCTTCTGACATTTCCTCTTCCGGCTTGGCCTATTTCTTTCAGGCCTTTTGATTTCCCCAGCTTTCATACAGCCCTTGCAACCACTGGCCTCCTCATATTCTACCTGGACAGCCTCTTGAGACCCACTGTTTTGGCAAGAGCGCTGGTCTGTGGCTGTCTTCTTACCAGTGCTTGCCAAACCTGGGCCTTCCTCCCTGTTTCCCACCAGTTCCTTTTCACAGCAGGACTCCCTCATATTCTTCCCATCTGCCCCAAACTCAGAATTCTCAGGGTTTCCTGAGTCCATAAGGCTAAAGAGAGCTGACCTGAGGGTGGCACGGGCTTGGTGGGCAGCCCTGGTGAACCTGCCTCCTTCCGCCGCTGCCTCCTGGGAGCAGTGGAGAGATGCCCGGTTCACGGCGGCTACCGGGCAGTGGAAGCCTCTCGGAACTTCAGAGGCTGTGTCCAGAGTGGCGGAGGGACCGGCACATATGACATTGTCCGCTGGCGCTGGGGCCGCAGGTCCGGGGCTGCTGGGAGAGGCCAGAGAGCTGAACAGGGAGGCACTGGCGCCCAGCTCGTCGCAGTCCTTGGGCTGGCTGCACACGCTGAGGTCCCGGCTGAGGCGGCCCAGGTTGCTGTCAGGGAAGGGCGGCGGTCCGAGCGGGCCGCACGGGGTGCTGCACTTCTGTGGGGGCCGAGCTCGCAGCCTCAGGCGTCTTGGGGTCACGATCAGGCTCGGCCGGTCCTTGGAGATTCGGCCGGCACGGCGCCTCTGCCGTTGACGGACCGGGCTGCCGCAGAAGTCTGGGTCGTCGGGGTCGTCCGAAGCGGCAGACTGCGAGGGGCCGCTGATACTGGCGTCACTGCTACTGCTGCTGCTAAAGAAACGCTTCCGGTCTTGTGGTGGGAACCACTGTGCGGCTGCCCGCCCCGACCGCAGCCGCAGCCCCCAGCCACCCGCAGCCCCGTAAGTTCTGAAGAGCCGGCTCCCAGGTCGCGGGCGCGACGCCGCCATGGCCGCACCCGCCAGGCAGTTCAAATGCAAACACCGCGAGACTTCCTTGTGAAGTGTACGCGCCTGCCGACCGGACTGCCCACCCGCCAGGTCCTAGCGCCCGGCCTCACGCCTGCGCAGCCAGTCGAGTCTCACAGGAGCTGGGAGGGGGGCGGTAACCATGGCGATTTGTTTTCCTCCCTGCGTTGCGGTGAATGGCTCTCTTTTCAGGCCAATACTGTGTGCGCTCAGAGTCAGGGGAGCGTTTGTGGAAGCGACCGGGTTCAGGTGAGCGCAGCAGTCCCGACGTGGCCGAGGGAGGGAGGGAGGGACGGCCTGAAGTGGGTGACATAAGAATACCCCCGAACCCGTTACCCTCGAGTGGTTTCCGCTATGAGTTAAACTTTTCATCCTTTGCACACGAGAAGGAATTATGCTAACCAGATTTTTTTCCCCCCAGTACGTGCAAGAATGGCATTCAGTGAACTGCACCATCACTTCAGATAAAGAAAATGTAACCGTGGCTGCAGAGCTCTCCTTGAGTTACTCTGAGCAGGTACTTGAGACTGTAAAACGCTTCAAATTTGATTATCCAGCTGTCCTGGGCATCTCTTCTCGAGAGGCTGATAGCATCAGGCATATAACGTGTCGAAAACAGCGCTCTTGATCCACCTTCTGCCCCAACTTATTCCTTACCTTTTAAGCTCTACCCAGTTACTCAGACCAAAATTCTAGGAATTACCTGTGACTCCTCCCTTTCCTACAACCTCATATTTATTCCAGCAGCAAGCCCTGTCATCCTGCCTCCAAAATACTGTATATCCTAAATCTCTCCACGTCTGTCCATTTCCGCTGCTACTGTTGTAGTTCTGGCTACCATCACTTGGTGGAGCTGTTGCGATAACCTGCCTGCTTTCTTTGCCTCTCCTCTTGCCATGCCCTCTACAAATCATTCTGCACACAACAGGTTTGACCTTCTAAAAGCAAAAATTAGATTGTGCCACTCACCTGCTTAAAAAAAAAAAAAAGTGACATTTGAGTACACTTAGACTAAAACATGCACTTTTTTCATGCCCTGCAAGGCACTACATGATCTGGTCTCTGTATTTTTTTTCTGGTCCCTATTTTTTCAACTTCATCACCTAGCAGTCTTTTTCTCCCTGCTTCTTATATTCCAGCACTTCTGTCTTTCCTGTTCCTCGAGTTTGCCAAGATTCTACTGGCCGCAGGACCTTTGTACTTGCTGTTCCTTCTGCATGACACTGCTCTTCCCCCACATCTTCACATGGATGGTTTCTTCTTGTGTTTAGCTCAAATGTCACTGTAGAGATGCCTTCCCTAATCACTCATTCAAAAGTGGGAACTACTGATGTAGTTTAACATGTTGTAGTTATCCAGGTGAGTGTGATGAGACCTGAACTGAAGCAGTAGCAATGGGAATGGAGAAAAAAGGTCAGGTACAAGAGAGACCAAAAAAAAAAAAATTGTCAAGAACTGATTGAGGGAGGAGGGGCAGCATGAGGTGAAGGGTGAGGGAAAAGAAGTTGAGGAATAACTGCAGGTTTCTGGCTTGGGTAACTTTGTGGATGTCACGGCCACCAACTTGGCTAAGGAATATCAGAGAAGGGGCACATTTAAACGGAAAGATGGTGAGCACCGTCCAAAAACAATGAGTCCGTTTCTAAAATCGGCTTTGTTTTTTCCCCTACATTTTATAGTTACTAAGAAATATAACTGAACTGCAGATCCTTGGTGAAATATCTTTCAACAGATCTCTGTATGAGGGGCTGAATGCAGAGAACCATAGAACTAAGGTAATCCCTGTTTTCTGTGTAATGTCCTAGGAAAACTGCCTGGCCTTTGAGCCCTGCACAGGTACCCTGCTGTTGCCCTCTTCCCATTTTCCAGTCTTATCACTTCTGAGTTTGGCTTTGCCATCAACTGCCTTTGTGACCCTGAGCGAGTCAGATTCTTCTGCCTCAGTTTTTTCATCTGTAAAATGAGGAAGTTGAATATGAGGCCTAAGCTGAGAGGATCAAGCTGAAATAACTAACCAGTTGCCGTCGTGTCAACTTCGACTCATGGAAGCCCCAAGTGTGTCAGAGTAGAACTGTGCTCCGTGGAGTTTTCAATGGCTGATTTTTCAGAAGTAGATTGCCAGGCCATTCTTCTGAGGCGGCTCTGCGTGGATATGAACCATTAACTTTTCAGTTAACAGCAAGATGTGTTAACGTTTTGCATCACCCAGAGATTCCTATAGCATAGATTCCCAAAAATTATTTTTCTTACTTTAAATTCAACTCCTAAGCGAAGTATTAAGTAACTCCTGACAATAAACACCTTTTTTTTACAATGAATCTGAGTATAAATTGCTGTGTACCCACATGCATTCCTAGTCAAGTAAGGGGAAGCCTAGCTAACATCCCTTAAGGGCATAGGTTGCTTATGTAGCGAGGGGGGCAGACCCAGGGTCAGCACCCTGGCTCCTTTGATCCTTGTGCTCTGCCATCTCAGTGTGCTGGTGACATCTCCTTTCAGCACCAGCACAAAGTCGCGACATCTCCAAATGCTATGCTGTCACAGAGTACAAAGTAGGGTGCAAGAAGTCAGTAGCAAAGGGTATTTTCTTCATGTGGCTCTTCCTTTGCAGGAAGGAAAATCTTTCCTAAAAACTCCCAGCAGACATGCCTTATATCTTATCAGTGAGAACTGGGTCTCATGTCAGTCCCTGGCAAAGGGGAGTGACTTTATCATGGTGGCTTAGACCAATCATGATTACTGAGCAAAATTTGAAAGGAGGGAATTGCTGTCACTAGGCCACCATTGGTGTTTGCTACAAGCAACATCCTGTGCCCTGCTTCTCCCTTAACCTCCATCAGGGCAGATTTGGGGCACTTTAGAGAACTTAGGGGTTTAATAGAGGAAAAGAGGAAGAGGCTTTGAAAATCAGGAGCATTTCTTCTACTCAAATCTGACCTGTTACATCATTGTCATTTTGGGACGAATTCCCTTCATTATTTTCCTAAACCCAGGTTCAAGTCCGTTTTTTCCCCCTCACCTCACTCTTCCATAGAAGGAAAAGTCAGCTCTCTTCCTCTTCTTCCTCTGTCTGTGTTGCTTTGCTAGCTCCCTAGTCTCAATGTCCAGAACTTAATCCTATTAAGTTCAGCTACATATGAGTTGGGTGCAGCGGTGGTTCAGTGGTAGAACTCTTGCCTTCCATGTGGGAGACCCAAGTTCAATTCCTGGCCAATGCACCTCAAGTGCGTCAGAGGTTTATGTATTGCTATGATGCTGAACAAGTTTCAGCAGAGCTTCCAGACTAAGACAGACAAGGAGGAGAGACCTGGTGATCTACTTCTGGAAAAATCCAATCCTGATGTGTATGAGGTCGATGTGCATGGGGTCACCATGGGTCGGGGGCTGACTCAGTGGCAGCTAACAATACCGCAACACATATGAATTAAGTAGGGCCTTGAGGGCCAACCCCAGGAACCTAACCAGCATTTAAAACTTAATTGGAAGAGGCCTTCAAGGTAAGTTTGTCCAGCCCTCCACCCCATACAGAAATTCTTTTCAAAGCACCGTTGACCTTGGTGCTTATACATGTACATGAAGGGAACTTGGTGTTTTTGGTGGGCAGCGAGGTCTTTTTTTTTAAATTGTGCTTTAGATGAAAGTTTATGGAGCAAATTAGTTTCCCATTCGATACTTTATACATAAAGTGTTCTATGACATTGGTTACGTGTCCCACAATGTGTCAGCACTCTCCCCGTTTCTATTCGTTTCCTTTCGTCTGGATTTTCTACCCCTTCCTGCCTTCTCATCTTGCTTTTGGGCAAATGTTGCCCTTTTTATCTCACATAATTGATTGTTTTAAGAAGTACATTCCCCTAAGGTGTTATTGTTTATTTTATGGGCCTGTCTGTTGTTTGGCTGAAAGGTAGTCTTTGGGAATGGCTTCAGTTCCAGGTCAGAAGGGTGTCTTAGGACCGTAGTCTTAGGGGTTCTTCCAGTTTCTGTCAGACCAGTAAGTCTGGTCTTTTTTGTGAATTTGATTTTTTGTTCTACATTGTTCTCCTGCTCTGTCCAGGACCCTCTGTTGTGATCCCACTCATAGCAGTCAATATTGGTAGCTGGGCACCGTCTAGTTCTTCTGGTCTCGGGGTTGTGTAGACTTTAGACTAATTAGTCCTTTGGACTAATTGCTCTCTTGAGACTTTGGTTTTCTTCACTCTTCTTTGCTCTGGACAGAAGAGACCAATAGTTGTCTTAGATGGCTGCTTACAAACTTTTAAGACCCCAGATGATACGAAAGTAGGATGCAGAACATTGTCTTTATGAGCTATGTTGTACCAGTTGATGTAGATGTCCCCCAAGTCTATGGTCCTTTGCCTTTGAGCCTAGGAACTTCGCCCTGTGAAGTGTTTGGTTATGTCTAAGAAGTTTCCATGACTGTGTCCCTTATGTGCTCTGTCTATATTAATATACATGCAGCACCTACAATTATGTATGTAGAAATATCCACAAGCAAATCTATGTCTGCAGGTAGGTGTGCTCCTTTACACCCTTCCATACCCCTTTAGCATACTCATCTATTTATGTATCCATTTGTAACTTATTGTTTGTCAATACTATTGTTGCAGGATTGTCTATGTTATGTTATAGTAATTACCGTAGTTGTCCTTTATTCTTGCGTTCCTCTCACTGTCTTTCTTTGCCTTTGTCATGTTGTGCTGATTTCCACCATACTGTGTATTGCCTTTCCCTTCACCAATATTAACGCTTATCTTCTATCTAGTTAGTAATTTTCCCTCCCTCACCCTTCTAATCCCTGGTAACCATCAAAGAATTTTTTTTTTCTGTATGTAAACCTTTTCTTGTTTTTTTATAATAGTTGTCTCATACAGTATTTAACATTTTCTGATTGACTTATTTCACTCAGTATAATGTCCTCCAAATTCATCCATGTTGTAAGATGTTTTGTGGATTCGTTGTTATTTATCGTTGCATAGTATTCCATTGTGTATATATACCACAGTTTGTTTATCTGTTCATCCGTTGATGGGCACTTTGGTTGTTTCCATGTTTTTGCTATTGTGACTAATGCTGCAGTGAACATGGATGTGCATATGTCTGTTCACGTCACGGCTCTTATTTCTCTAGGATATATTCCTAGCAGTGGGATTGCTGGATCATATGGTATTTCTATTTCTAGCTTTTAAAGGAATCGCCATACTGTTTTCCATAGAAGTTGTATCATTTTACATTCCCACCAGCAGTGTATAACATTCTTATCTCCCCACAACCTTGCCAACATTTGTTATTCTTTTTTCCTGATTAGTACCAGTAATGCTGGGGTGAGATGGGGGCAGAGAGGTCTTGATAGCCCTCTGGCCCTACTTAAGCCTTGAGAACACGCTCTGACCATGGTCTGTATGCTGGCCAGTTGGTTGGGACCTCGGGAGGGCCGTTATTTGAGTCTCACTTGGGAAGCATATCCCCTGAGCTTTCCAGCTGAGCCCTGTCAGTGAGAAGAGAGTTTAGACTCCTGGAATTGAGAGAGCCTTTGGAAAACCAAGCTAGGGATGGCTTCCATTGGAAGAGTTTTAAAAATACTACACACAATGCCATTTCACATTAATTTTTGGGTCCCTAAGAGAACATGGAGTCCCTGGGTGGTGCAGACAGCTAATGTGTTCGGCCACCACCGAAAGGTTTGCACTTCACGTCCGCTCAGAGGCTCCTTGGAAGAAAGGCCTGGAGATCTACTTCTGAAAAATCAGCTATTGAAAACCCTGTAGAGCACAATTCTATTCTGACACACGTGGGATCACCATGAGTTGGAGTTGACATGATGGCAGCTCGTTTTTAAGAGAACATACACGTGATTAATACCACTTTTGGTTTAGTGAAGAGCAGACCAGTATCTTTGTCAGATATTTTATGTGGGAAAAATGTATTACTAAAGACTTTAGGGATTCGTGCAAGATCAAAAGAGCTGTCAGAACAGAGTTAGAAAGGCGTTAGAGATCATTTAGTGTCAGTCATCATTTTGAAGGTAATGAGCGTGGGGTTCAAGGACATATAGGATGATAGTGGCAGAGCTGGTTGGAGAATCTTGATTCTGTGTCTCCTAGTCCAGTGTTCTTTACAACCTAGAGACCTCAGTTCCTTGGGACCCTCTATCTGTCAGAGAGTCTTTACTTTAACAGAAGCTCACAGTCTCCCGACAGACTTAGCTCTTCTAGATAAGAGAGCAAAATAGTTTCTTAGAAAGTATTTTAATCATTAGGTAATTTTAGATGCTGCATCAGGAAACTTTTAACATTTTTGCTTACTGTCATCAGTGTTGGTCAGTACACAGAATGTTGCCAAATCTTCATAGTTTGCTCCTTTAAATGCCATGTGGAGTTGCTCCCCATTTGTTTCACCTAATTTATTGGATGGTCTGTTGTCTTGCTCTAGATCACTGTCATCTTTCTGAAAGATGAAAAGTACCATTTTCTGCCTGTCATCATTGGAAGCAGCGTTGGTGGCCTTCTGGTTTTGATTGTGATTATAGTCATCCTATTCAAGGTCAGTTCTACTTGTGTTCATAAAGGCGAGAGAAGACTAAGCTGGGCCCTGGTGTTGGGCATAGTGCTCCTGAGTACAGCCCGCCCCTGACTCAGAGCAGCTGCCCTGCACACTTCCTTCAACCCCCACCTCCCCTGTTTAGGCAAACGAGCATGACAGCTTCTGTCTGAAAAAGACAAAAGTCTAGTTGAAGCATTAAAGTAGAGAGATCTTCCTTAAACAGAATTGGCTGCTATTCCCCTGTTTAAATCCTTTCCTTGGCTTCTCCTGTCTTAATGTTCAGACTTTTTTCCTGTTATTCAAGGCCCTCCACTCTCTGTCTTCTGCCCCTCTCCACCCTCAGGTCTTGCTTTTTTCTCCAAGCTACAGTTCCTTAAGTTAAAAAGCTGAAAGTGCTGGGGTTCAGAGAAGGGTGGGATTGGGGAATGAGCGTCAGGAAAGGCAGCATTTAAGAAGGGTCTTGAAGAATTGGATTATCAGGGAGAGGTTCAGAGAAGGGTATTTCAGGAAGCGAAAACAATATGAGGAGAAATAGTTTTCTGAAACAGATGGATATCTCAGCTTGTAATTGGGCTTTCCCTCCCTTTGTTTTAGTGTGGCTTTTTTAAAAGAAAATATCAACAACTGAACTTGGAAAGCATGAGGAGGGCCCAACTGAAATCAGAAGATCTGTTCATAGAAGAAAATTAGGCCCTGCTTCCTTATCCCTTGGGAGAAGCCATCAGCTGACCCTGGAACTTCTAGAGACCTGGTGCCATATTGATTACTTCTCCTTCAGGATGATCTAGAGCAGCAGCTAACAAATTGTATGTAGAATATTGTTTTAACCATGCATTGTCCAAAAAGTGGCTGTGCTTCAGTAAACTTGGGAAACATTTGGTTTTAAATAAAGTTAAACTGTTTTCTTTACAGCAGCACCTTTAATATGCTAGTAGATTTTATAATCCCCCCTCTCCACAAGAGGAGGTTATACAACATTTCCCGACATTATTTGCCTAAGAATGTTTTTTTCTTGACATTTCTATTAACATCTTCCAAAGTACTGCATTATATAAAGTATATCTTAGGAACAGTGATCTAAAGTGATTCCTAGTCTGGTATTTTCAAGGTCCTAAAATATCACCCATTATTTCAAATAGGCCACCAAAAAGCACCCTCAAGATACATTTAAAAAGTAGAAAAGAGGTCATCAAAACAGGATCTAGGGAGGAGAGGACAAGACAAGGACTGTGCTGCAGTTTCATTTCTGTGCATGTAAGAACAGTTCCATCTAGTCGATATCCTGTACATCCTTACTTGGCCTCCTGCTCGGTGAACTGCTTTGGGAGACTTTCATTCCTTAGCAGATACTGTCAACAGGAGAGAGAACTTGTCACAGGAGGAGATGGGACTTGGCCTGGGAGTTGAGAGCATAATTAGGGCCTAGACTCTCACAGGCTAGGTAGGTTTGCTCTTCGTGTCTTTCACTTTTATGCTCCATGCTGTTAAAACTTAATGGCAGGAGTCCCTGGGTAGTGCAAATGGTTAAGCTCTCAGCTACTAACCAAAAGGTTGGCAGTTCAAATTCACCCAGAGGTGCCTTGGAAGAAAGTCCTGGCGATCTGCTTCTGAAAAATCACAAGCATTGAAAACTCCATGGAGCACAGTTATACTCTGACTCACATGGGGTTGCTGCTGTTGAAAAATAATAAAAACTCACTGAAATTTGAACATAGGTTTATTCTGAGCAGTATTCTGTATGCATATTGGGAGACAATTTTGATTCAAGAAAAAGCAAATGGCTAGAAGAAGCTAGGTACAATGAGGCTTACAAAGAGAAGAGGAGGCAGAAATATAGAAGATAAACCATTGGCTAATCTTAACATGATTGACTGAACCCTGCTTTCCCCTCCAGGACTTCGAACCCCTGCTGAGATTTGCATTTCTACCAAGTTCCCAGGCCATGCTAGTGCCGATTCTGAGAAACACTAGTAGAGTAGTAAAGTAGTGGTTCTCAAAAATTATTGTACATAACAATCACCGGGGGATTCTGTTAAAATGTAGATTCTGATTCAGTATATCTGGGGGATAGAAATGCAAATTCTCAGTAGGAGTTTGAAGCAGAATGAACTGGTTGGAAGCCCTGCTTCCACCTTTACTGAGATTCACTGATACCAGGTTACTTCTGGCCTGGCTGCTAATAATTTGGCCCTCCACTCACCTGCAGCTGTGAGGCTTTTTGAACTTTAAATTAGGAGGTAATGTTTTGACAGCTATGCTTTTCTAGCAGGATAAGGCATATTTACATTGCTATAGAGCAGTTTCTGGCAGGTTTTGTGGTTTGGGTCGGGCTCTTTATGGTTAATATTTGGTTTCCTGGCTAAGAAAAACCTTAACATCAAAGTAAGATGTCTGTTACTAACTTTCCTATTCAACACCACCATTAGTTGGAATTGATTTGACAGCAACTGGAAAGAAAAATGTCTCTGATTAACAGACAGAACAAATTTCACCCAAAGATTATTGGTGGTTACCAGGGGTGGGGGTAGGGGAAAGGGAGAGAGAGAGAAAAACAAAACACAAAACAAACTTGATAACTCGATCGTATCTCCGTCCTCCCAAACCTACAATGGCACTGTCTTTATTTTTGTGGATTATACAAATTATTGTAAAGAATTAAACAGTGCAGAAGGGTAGATAGTAATCCTTGCGATTCCATGGTCATCTTTTATACCTAATTCAGATGCTTTAACTATTTCTTTCCTTTTCTTTTTTTTCAAATTTAGGCATATATAAAGTGTAAGTTAAGGAATTTAACTTACTTTTTTTCCACCAGAAACATAACTAATTTTCACAGCACCACTTATTCAAATACCACCTTTTCTTACCTCTGCTGTCCCCATATCACAGGGGCTGGAGGCCTTAAACATTTCCCAGACTCCCTTGCAGTGAGGTTCTAGTTTAGGTTTTGCCAATGAGAGGCACTTGCATGAGACTAGAAGGTGGGAAGATGAAAGAAGCCATTGTTCTGGTTCTGGCAGCAGTGGTGGCAGCAGGGGCAGTAGCAGGTAAGATCAGGCTCCTGCACAACCCAACCACCTGCAGGTGGCTCCCTGCAGCTCCTGATCTGGGGAGGGTGGGGGGGTGGTGGGCTGGTAACAGCTACTCTCCAGCCCTTCTAACAAATTTGAAACTTAATTCCCTGCGTTAGATCTCTTTCTGCTTGAAATACCTAGAGTGGTTTCAGTTTTCTTGACTGGTCTTGAATCTCTGTTATTTCCAAATGAGTAACGGTTGTCTCTATCTTGTTTGTTGAAATGCCTACTGATTTGAAATTCTATCAATACCACATACGAAAGTCATATATGTGTGTGTGTTGTTCTTAATTCTGATTCATGATGATGCCATGTGTGCAGAGTAAAACTGCTCCATAGGGTTTTCAGGGCTGTGACCTTTCAGAAGCAGATTGCCAGACCTTTCTTCTGAGGTGCCTCTGGGTGGGTTCAAACTGCCAGCCTTTTGGCTTGTAGTCAAGTGCTTAACTGTTTGCGCCACCCAGGGACTCCTATATATATATGTGTATGTATGTAGAAATTTAATTTTGTTTCATTGATCTGTTTATTCCTGTATTAATACCACAATTGAAGGAAAACGTTTTTTAGTGTCATGCAAATGATAATTTCAAAACAGTACTAAAAGTATCTAAAAAGTGAAAAGTCAGTCTCCTTCTCCTCTTATAACTCTAATCTCTCTTTCCAAAGTAATCACTGTTAGTAGTTTTTTAGATATTCTTTCAGATTTTTAATATATAAGTGGGATTAGATTGTATGTAGGGTTCTGCCCCTAGCTTTTTTTCTAGATGAAAAAAAGATACATTTTAGATATCTTTCAATAACAACAACTGCAGATCTACTTTATTCTTTTTAACAGCTCCATACTATACTATGATATATATGAACATATCAGAAGTTAGTTAACAAGTCCATACAGGTGGTTATTTAGATTGTTTTTATTTCTTTTCTTTTTCTTATTACAAAGACAGAGTGTGGTGAACATCTCTAAATGGTGTACTTTTTAGGCAAATTAATGGACAAATTCCTAGCACAATACTGGCTCAAAGGCTATGTGCATGTAAAATTTTGATAGATGATGGCAAATTGACCTCCAAGATGTTTTTACCAATTTACAGTCCCACACTGAATATATGGAAGTGCCACTCTATACACTTGCCACCACTGGCTATTATTAAATTATAACTGTCTTGCTGTGAAAAATGGTATACTGTGGTTATGGATTGAATTGTGTCCCCCAGAAATGTGTGTCAGCTTGGCTAGGTCATGATTCCCAGTATTGTGTGATTGTCCACCATTTTGTCACCTGATGTGATTTTCCTATGTGTTGTAAATCCTACCTCTAATGATGTTAATGAGGTGGGATTAGAGGCAGTTATGCTAATGAGGCAAGGACTCAGTCTATAAGATTAGGTTGTATCTTGAGTCAATCTCTTGAGATATAAAAGAGAGAATCGAGCAGAGAGACAGAGGGACCTCATACCACCAAGAAAGTAATGCCAGGAGCAGAGCGTGTCCTTTGGACCTGGGGTCCCTGTGCTAAGAAGCTCCTAGACCAAGGAGGATTGATGACAGTGACCTTCCTCCTGAGGCGACAGAGAGAAAAAGCCTTCCCCGGGAGCTGGTGCCTTGAATTCAAACTTCTAGCCTACTAGACTGTGAGAGAATAAACTTCTGTGTGTTAAAGCCATCCACTTGTGGTGTTTCTGTTATAGCAGCACTAGACAACTAAGACAATTGCAGTTTTCATTGCAACTTTGCAATGAATTTTGATATCTGATAGGGAAAGTTTTCATTCTTATTTTTTTAAATTAATAGTTTTATTCTTTCAGATTACTCTTAGTGTCAGTTTTCCAGATTTCCAAAAGAACTCCTTTGGGGTTTTAATTTAAATGTTCAGGTTAAATTGGGGAGAATTGATATCTTTGTAGTATTATCTTCCTACTCAGAAATATGACATTTCTCCATGTGCTCAGATTTTTAAAAACACCCTGCAGCAAATTTGTATAATTTTCTTCATAGAAGTGTTAATTTATGAAGACTTTCATTTCCAGCTTCATTATATTTTTTGTTGCTATTGTGAAAAATATCTTTTTTCCCTCCGATTAATGTTTGCCTCTAGAACATTTGACTGTTTTTTAATGTTTATCTTATCTGGCCATCTTATCGAACTTTTTTGTTTTTTAGTAGTGTTTCAGTTGATCTTGGATTTTCTAAGGAGACAGTCTTATCTGCAAATAATGGCATTTTGACTCTTTCTAATAGTCACTCTTTTTTCCCACCCTTGTTTCCTTGACTAGGACTCATAGGGCTCTGTGAAGTTAACACTGAACAGGGCAGATGTCCTTGATTTGTGCCTGACTTTAAGGCGATTGCTGGTTTATCCTCTACTGCCTGCCTCACAGCCTTCCTGCAGTCCCAGCCCAGCTACTTGGAGTTTGGGCATTTCTAGAGTTTGGTTGCAGAAACCTTTCACCTCCTTCTCATGGAGCCCCTTATTTGCCTGTGTTAAATCACCAGGCTGGCATCATCAGCTTTTCTGTTGATCCAATTCCATCTGCTTCAGTTCTCTCAGAAATTCCTCTAGATTTTTGGTCCCTTTGTTAAGCCATTCTCTGTTTTCCACTGCTGTTACAAGCTTTTTTCTCTTTGTATTTCTTGGGTTGTTTCAGTGAGATTTGCCTTCAGAGGAAAAGAAAGAGATAAGTTTGCTTAGTTATTTCTCTGTTGTTGGGCTCAGGAATTGTGTCCAGGTTTTCAGTATTGTAGGTGACTTGCAACCCCAGCTTTTATAGTTTTTTTATTGGAAATAAGACCCTGCTCCCATCGTTAACAGCCATGCCTCATATTGACTAACTGAGCTGAGCTCATTGGAGCTAGACCAACGCAGCTGCAGTTGGGAGACAACGTAAGGGACCAGTTGGTGAGGAGGAAGAGAGTTTTGCATGGAAGCATGATTAGATTTTACAAATTTGTATGTTTCGGTTTGGGCCAAGGCCTTGTCAGTTTCTAAAAGATGCCTTTCTGGTGCCACACCTCCCACTTTCCCTGTTCACTTCCTCTGCCTGGGAACAGGAAGTGCTATAGCTTGTATAGATTCAAGGACAGTGAGTGTTATCACAGGGCCACTGTCCTGGCCAGAATAGGACTAAAATGGGGCCAGCTGGGTGCTAAGCATGAGATTAAATGCCTCTCGGTTTCTGTTTTCAGTTCCCCTATTACAGGTGAGTGAGTGTGAATTCAGATAACTTTTTTCTCTGATGATAACATCTGCATTTTGGATTTAGTTGTTGGAGGGATGAAATAGAGCAGGTCTGAAAACCTAAACTGGTCAGACGATTTAGGGGCACTCCATATGGTCAGCAGTCTTAAGTGATCTGTTACTGTTGTTGCTAGGACGTTATTCCATGTACGTCTTCTCTAAAGATTTACGAGGCGGGATATTTGGTCAAGATTAGGATTTAGGTATTTCTGGGTCTCTCAGGTATAATAAGAACCTCATAATGTGCCAGAATTCTAAGAACAGAT